GGACAACTTTACCTTTACCTTTAACCTTTTTACATCTTCCTATTTACAATTTAAATGACTCTATAAACATACTTTTGGGGCATTCTATGATTAATTCACAAGTTTTATAAAACTGTACACTACGCTACACTACAATATGTCAAATGGCAAAATGACAAGACGACTCAAGAATTGGAAAGAATGTTGAAGTAAGCAGATGTGGCATAATCACGTTACTATCCTAGAATGTGCCTGAGGAAAACAACAAAAGAATGCAGTCTTGACAGCCCGTGTCCTGGGCAGGATATGAAATGGGCACCTCATGAATATGAGTCTAGATAACTACTGGTAATTTCCTACAATCAGCACAACAATATGGCAGATGCACAAACTTGACAGACTTGTAACATGGCATAACACTAGTAACTCTTTACATATTCCTGCACCATTTACATGACTTTGAAATGAAACACAACTTTGTTGATATAATCCTTTTGTAGAATGTTTAAAAATAATATGTCAGACAAGCAACAATTTCCATTTAACTTTGTTTGATAAAATCTAATGTACCAATGAAGAAAGGAATGTATAATTTCATGGTGAGATAGCTTACTAACATGTCTGTAAATGAAATACAGTAAACTCTAGTTATCTGGTTTGCAAGGGGAATGGGGCGTGCTGGTTAGGTGAATCTTCCAGCTGCATGGGAGAAACTCATTAAGAAAACCAATACAAAATAAAAGAAAATGTGTTTTCCTTATTGTTCTTGTGTGGGAGTCTTCCTAGTTGATATAGCAAATTGGTGGGTGAAAGATTTTGGATACTTGTAATATAATGCCACAACAAATTCAACTAGCCTCTATTATAATGGCACCTGCATGAGAGAAGATGATGGGTAGTGCTATTAGTAGCAGAACTTCATTGTGGCAGGTAAAGACAGAAACTTTGCACAATTTTGTTTTTGAATAACTTTATAAAAATGGTAAATTTTCTTAGAAACTTTTGCTGGTTAGGTGACATTTAAAAATACTTTGCTATAAGATAACCAGGAGTTTTATATTCTACCAATGTGACATTCCAGGTCCTGAGAGCGAAGACTACAGAGAGCGTTAGTTTATGGGATGTGATGCCATATATAATCTTCCTCAAAATATATGAAGGATGAGTGATAATGTGAAGATTTTTAATCACACACTGAAAAGTTTCCTCACAACAAATGCCTTTTATTCAATAGATGAATATATTTCTGCTAAGCATGTATAACATTTAATAACTATATTCCTTGCAATTTTGTTTATGAATGACAATGTAAATTATGGTTATTTGGTGCTTTTGGTTGTCTGTGGTTGTTTGCTGTTGACACGATTGTACTTCTGCAATCAAGTCTTATTTTGATGAGTTCAATATCTGGTCCAATTCAGACAACGGATCAGTGAATTTATGAATTATGTATGTATCTATAATCTGGCAGAAGTTTGTCGGTTTGTTCTGAAGAAATGTCCATAAACTTCTATCAGTTTCCAAGGTGTCATATCATAGAAGATGGTATTCTTTGTGTGCTTATAAGCCAGTAATAACAAGTTCTGTGATTGTGCAAAACTGACAAACATATTCAGAATCTCTACAAAAGCAGAAAGTTCTTCCCAAAGTAATGATGATCATGATAACAACAAGAATAACAATAATAACACCAGTATCATCAACATCAGCAGCAGCAGCAACAGCAAGAACAAGAAGAACAATAAAACAGATATATTTTATTTACTTACTTACTTACTCATGGAGCTGAGCCCTTCTTGGGGAGCCGCCAATTCTGCAGCTACTCAAGAATTTCCCAGCATTTTATGGAACCTGAAGGTTCATCACCGTGTTCACAAGAGCCTCCACTGGTCCCTATCCTGAGCCAGATCTATCCAATCCATACCATCCCATCCTATCTCTCTAAGATCCATTCTAATATTGTCCACCCACCTATGCCTTGGTCTTCCCTGTGGTCTCTTTCCTTCTGGCTTTCCAACCAATATCCTATACGCATTCCTCATCTTCCCCATTCGTGCTACATGAACTGCCCACCTCATCCTCCTTGACTTTATCATTCTAATTATACTTGGAGAAGAGTACAAGTTATGAAGCTTCTCATTATGCAGTTTTCCCCAACCTCGTCACTTCATCTCTCTTTGGTCCAAATATTCTCCTCAACACCCTGTTCTCAAACACCCTCAGTCTATGTTCCTCCCTTAATGTCAGAGACCAAGTTTCACATCCATACAGAACCACAGGCAAAATTATAGTTTTGTATATTC